ATGATTCCGATGCCGGCGTGAAGGGCGATGGATGGAACACAGTGCTCTAGCCAGAACAGTCAGCTCTGAATTGGTTCTGCCCAGTGATTTCGCTCAGTGATTTCGCTCTGTGATTCAGCTCAGTGATTCAGCTCAGTTCAGAGGCTGGCCGCATCTGGCTGTGCTCTGATGTCCATCCATCCCACCTTCGTCGCCAGTGTTAAGTCGTGGGTTGACATAGCAGCCGGCACAGCGATTTCTTCAAGTAGCTCTTTATTATGGTAAGCTGGAATACAACTGACTGCGACAGCTCAGCCGGCCTGTATTTATAGGCAGCCGGCTGTCAACATTGTAACCACAACAGCCCAGAGTTCCCGCCTAAAATAACTGCCGCGGACCTGAGTGAAAACTATCTACAGACCTGAGTGAAAACTATATACAGTATCCCCCTGTTGGCCCAGGGTGAAACTACACTACATAACAGTAACTTTCAACATTTTAAACATATACAGTAAAAAAGCATTTTTGTCTTTTCTCTAATTTTTGCCAGCATCCCACCCCTTTTCCAATAGAGTTGCTGTTTCTCTCCTGCTGCTGCACCCTGTCTTCTACCTATCAAATCTGAAGCATGTCCATGTTATATTTTAACCACCACTCCACAAATGGTGGGCACTTCTGGTGTGAGCATTGGTGGTGGTGTGGTGGCTGTGGACTAAACACTTGAACACCCTTTCTGCGGACTTCCAGCCCTTCTCCAGACACCTTCTGCTATACACAGAAGTCAGCTGTTGGGAACTGCAGCAGAAAAACCCTTTTAAAAAGCGTTTGTGACTCCTGCATCTATATGGCGGTAGATGCAGCAGGATGGAGTGGCAACTAGAAAACCAGAATGTCCTACACTAAGGCGATCCTCCCGTTAGGACAAGTGCTTAGGTTTGCCAGATGCAATGACCCTTGCCCTGATCCACAGGCCCAAAGGAGGTGCCTGTTGAAGTGTAGGCGGGTTCCTACGAGGAACACAGTGATAACAGCAAGAACCTTTGTTGAACTAACAGAACTGGACAACAGGGGCAAAGCAACTTCTTATATACATTTCTGAAGGCCTGGGCCACTCCCACTCCCAACGTGATTGGCTATCTAAACTTCCAGGCTGCGAATCATGACTCAGAGTTTGAGGGCCAATGACATAAGCCCAAATACTGAATACGTACTGTGATTGGATATCATGTATCGAATCAGAACACAGGGGCTCAGAATCCTTAGTCCAGATCAGGCACCCCCAACCTGCAGCCCTCCAGATGTTTTGGCCTACAACTCCCATGATCCCTAGCTAACAGGACCAGTGGTCGGGGATGATGGGAATTGTAGTCCAAAACATCTGGAGGGCTGAAGGTTGGGGATGCCTGGTCCGGACTCAAGCTCAGGCAAACACAGACCATGGAATACATAACACCTTTGCAAGTGGTTTGATGCAGGGGTACCAAAGAAGGAGGCCAGAAATGCCAGAGGGATGCCCCTCTCCGATGCTGTGATCCAGTGCTGCGAGCAGGCTGCAGCTCCACCCCACAGCTCACCCCACACGCCCTGGTTGACGATTGCAGAAGTTACGCTGCTGGGGCAAACACAGAAACAGCAAGTGTCTGTCATGACTCTCTACTCCTGGGCAAACATTTTATGCATTACCTGTACAGAAAACTGTCGCCAATGGTCTTGTCAAAAAACAGACCAGAGCTTTACTTTCATCCAGCAGAGCTTTACTTTCTACTGAAGGCAAATGAGCATAAATGGTCACAAATCCAGTGTAATCAGGATTGGCACAGTCCATAAAAATTCACTTGCAGCAAAAAACAATAAAACTTACACTTAAAAGAGTTTATAATCAGAACTATTCAGAATAGGAAAAATATCTACATATCAGATCAATACTTTCTGTACAAAGAAATGGAAACTGACAAAAACGCCATAATCTCCCATCAGCCAGAATCTCCCATCGGTCCACAAGTGGCAGGCATCAAACTCTGTCTCCTCTTCCTAGGCCAATAGCCAAGCGTGCCAAGACAACAGAGATAAGCGTGGCATCAAAGCAGGCCAATTAGCATAGATCAAAGCAAACAGATAAACATAGTGAGCTCATTCTTGCATCAAATACTAATTAGTCTCTAGGTTATCTTGACTACTGTTACCGGAAAAATCTGAGGGCTCCCTTGGACAAAAAGTAAAGACACCAACCAGAGTAAATTGAAGCAAATCAGCAGCCTGTAGGCTTGGTCTTTATTGAAGAAAGACTGTCGCGACAGGGTGCTCCCCTCACTTGCAGGTGAGAGGAAAAAACCCAGAAAAATAGTGTGCAAGGTCTTATAAAAACTTTTGAAATTCCCCTCCTCTAGGTCAAGCCCACCCCCAGAAACATCATGCATACATTACAGAAAGGAGGGGTTGAGGGAGGAGTTGGTGGTAACCTGAGTGTCTTGTCACCTGGCTGGTTCCTCCTTTCCCCCCTCCCCATGAGTCACTTCCAGGAGACAAAGGGGAGTTTGCAGTTTCCTGCCCCCTGAGGGAAGATCTGATCATTGTCCTTTGTTTCAGTCCATGCTGAATCCACTCCCATATGCAAGTTCTTTGTGATCTTGATTGTCTTCTGTCTGGGATCATCAGGGTTGGCATAGCAACTGGGCAGGGCTCCTGTGGATGTGCTGAGACGGTGAAGGGATTATGGCTGACCAGGACCAAGCCACCCCCTTTGTTAGTTCTTGTCATATGGAGTAAAATAAAAATGGAACAGTGCAAATCTGATGTATGGTTGATTTTCTATGAATTTATAACAGAAATGTGGCGTATGCAGTGTGTGAGTGTGTGTGTGTGTGTGTGTGTGAAGTTTGTACAAACAGAATGATTGGGGTGGGGGGGTTCCTGCTACACTACCAAGATGGCCTTTACAGGCCTTAAGGAGCAAATATTCACCGTTTGGTTCTACACAATCCTCCTCTCTTCCCCCTGCATGCTGTTCCAGGGTGTCAAGGACTGGCTGGATGCAGAGGAGTGGTGGGAGGCAGCAGCTGGGGGACCCTCATGGGAACCCCCAGGGGAAGAAGGCTCAGAGCCCGGGGATTGGTGGTGGGACGACGATGAGTGGCCAGAGGGAGCAGACCGGGAGGAGGAGGAGGAGGAGGTGTCGGAAGCTAAAGAGGTAACAGGGTTTAGCCAGCAGGGATATTCCGACAATTGAAGAATGGCAACAGAAAGTACAGTGGTACCTCAGGTTACATATGCTTCAGGTTACAGACGCTTCAGGTTACAGACTCCGCTAACCCAGAAATATTACCTCGGGTTAAGAACTTTGCTTCAGGATGAGAACAGAAATCGTGCTATGGCGGCAGCAGGAGGCCCCATTAGCTAAAGTGGTGCTTCAGGTTAAGAACACTTTCAGGTTAAGAATGGACCTCCGGAACGAATTAAGTACTTAACCCGAGGTACCACTGTATTGGAGTATGCGGAAATAGCAAGGCTAACTGGAATAATCCGACAGCAGGACGATGAGAAATTCCAAAAAGAATGGTCCAAATTTATGGTATACTTAGAGAAAACTGTACATAAATAAAGACACTCACAGGACTGAAATAAAACTCGTAACGTTTATTGTAAACATTTGGTTAGACCAGTGTTTCCCAACCTTGGGCCTCCAGCTGTTTTTGGACTACAACTCCCATCATCCCTAGCTAGCAAGACCAGTGGTCAGGGATGATGGGAATTGTAGTTCAAAAACAGCTGGAGGCCCAAGGTTGGGAAACACTGGGTTAGACCACAATATGCAATGCTGTAATATAATAAGGAATGTATGGCTAAAGTAGAATACAAAAGTTTATTAAGGAATTATAGACATTTATAGAATGTATATATAGCTATCACGCTTAAGTAAGAGCAATGCAGAGAAGCCAGAAGAGGGGTGGAGGGAAGCTAATTCAGATAAGATATAGATTGAAAGGAGAATACTATTGTTAAGCTGTATTGTGTTTAAGATATTTGGAAAAAATTACTGGGGGGGAAACACCAGGGTTTAGTGAGCAGGAAGAGGCTGTGGCAGAGAGTAGCCCAGAGGCAGAGGCGGAGACTGGAGAGGAGGGAGACCAAGAGGCTGCTGAGGGTGCCAGGGAGTCTCCCCCTCCTGCTGTGACCAGCTCCCCTCTCCCCTGGTCTCCCAGAACCCAAAGAGGTATGAAGAGGGTGGAGCAAAGACAGACAAGGCGTCAGGGTCTCGGGTTGTTTGGGAAAGTCCCTGCGGAGGAGGAGGAGGCTTAGAGAGCTGTGGGAAGGCAAGGACCTTCCATCCTCGCAACTGTCTCATCGGGGCAAGATCTACAGGGAAGAATTCCTGTGCTCACTAGGCCCGAGCTGCTGCTTCTTTGAAAGGGTTAAATTCACCGACACCTTGTGAGTTACTGCTGACCTGCTACCGATACCCGACCTGACGCCACCCCCCCCCCCCGCTCAAGTTGATTGCTGGGTGGGGTGAGAAGATGGGGGAAGACCTGTTGTGCATTCAGAAATCATTGTGTGGGGTTCTGCTGACATGACTGGTTAGGTGAATCCCACCCATTGCCTCTGGAATTTATGTGAATAAAACGGGAAGCAATTGCCGGGGGTTGGACTAGATGGCCCTCTGGGTCCCTTACAACTCGACGGTTCTGATTCAATAATGGAATGGAATGAAACGTGTTAGACGACTGCTCTTCCCCCAACCCTCTTTCCCTCCCCTCTCCTGTTTCCAGTGTGGCGTAGTGGTTAAGAGCGGTAGACTCGTAACCTGGTGAACCGGGTTTGCTTCCCTGCTCCTCCACATGCAGCTGCTGGGTGACCTTGGGCCAGTCACACTTCTCTGAAGTCTCTCAGCCTCACTCATCTCACAGAGTGTTTGCTGTGGGGGAGGAAGGGAAAGGAGAATGTGAGCCGCTTTCAGACTCCTTAGGGTAGTGATAAAGCCGGATATCAAATCCAAACTCTTCTTCTTCTTCTTTCTCTTCCAGGATGTGACAAGTGCCCTGATCAGGTACGGAGCTGCAATTTCACCCCCTCTTTGTTCTTTGTTCATGAACCAACTGAAAGGTCAGTGCCAGCCATTCAGGGAAGCAGAGTCTCTGAGGCATATTCTGCAGGCTGCAGCCTAGATGACTCTCTCGGGTCATTACAAATCCCAGGCTCCTTATAACCACTTTGAGTGTGAATATGATCCCACCCTCACAGTCTCAGCTTTCCATCACCTACATAGACAGCCAGACTGGCAGCTCTCAGACAGAAATAGGGAGTGTGGGGAGGGCTAGGGAGAAGGAAGAGTTATTTTCTTGTTTATTTGTGCAGCAGCGAAGCCACCGGGGTGAAGTTTGACCCTTGAAGCCTCATATGTAAAAAACAAAACAAACAAATCTCTAAAACTGGGAGGCAAAGCTTTGCTCTTTTGTCTGTCGTAACTCTCAGTTCAGTAACCCTTCTAATTTTTGCAACCTGTCAGAAGCGATGACCTTAAATGTCAGAGGCCGGTTCCCGTTTCTTCTGACATGAAGGGCCACACCTGCAATTTCTCTCTGAAGACCGTGGTCCTCAAGGGAGTGCTGAAGAAATTCAAAGGTAAAGAGAAGCAGCACCTCTCCGTTCAAATCCATTCTCGGTATTTTAGCATCTGAAAGTGGCAGCGTTGGCTGGTAGCATGGGGTGCCATGGCCCAGCACAGAGCAGTCTCTTTCAGTCTCGATAACAATTTGCATTATTGATTTTACAGAAGACAGCCTGAAAGAACTGCTTTCTTAATTGACTAACGCAGGGGTTGTCAACCTGGTCCATACCGCCCACTAGTGGGCGTTTCGGGGTTCTGCGGCACAAGCTGAATCCTCCTTCCATTGAGCACTGGTGGGCGGCAAGGAAATTTTACCACCAAGAAAGATGCATTAGTGGGCAGTAGGTATAAAAAGGTTGACTACCCCTGGACTAACGGGATGCGTCGTTGCAGTGCAGCGATGGCCTCTGTGCTAGCTGGATTTTCCGAAAGGCTTTAGACAAATTCAAAGTGGTAGCCAGCAGTTTGTGGGGTGCCTGCTCTGTATTCTTCTTTTGCACCGGACAAGGGTGGGATTTGCTGCCTCTACCAAAGGCTATTAATCATGGTGGCCGTAAGGAGCAGCCTCCATGTTCAAAGGGAGGGGGCAATAACAGGGGGGGGGGGAGAGCAGCTACCTCCATGAATCAGAATGCTGTACTACAGGGGTGGAGAACCTCTGGCCTCTGGCCTTAATTTGGGCTTCCTGGTCCCATCATTTAGCCAGTGAGGTCATTTTGGCCTAGCCACGCCCACCTGCCCTACACCTGGCATCAGGTATGGGGCAGGTAAAGAGGCAGCAGGGTTGGGGGGAGGTTGCAGGTAACCTGTTCAGCAGCACCCACGGAGCCCTGTGCATGTGGTTTTGCAAGCCCCGACAATCAGCTGATCTGCTGTAACTGGCAGATCTGGAATATGGAACAAGTTGGTCTGTGCCAGCCTTCATCAAGCTGCTGCCCTCCAGATAAATTGGACTACAACTCCCATCAGCCCCTGGAAGGTGTCAGCTTGGGAAAGACTGGTATATGCCATTGACAATATTTGTTTATGGCACAGAGGTTAATAACAGTTTCCATTCTCTTGTATGGGTCTCTGTGTGTGTGTGTTTGGTACAGTCATACCTCATGTTACGTTTCCTTCAGGTTGCATGTTTTCAGGTTGCACCCTGCGGCGACCCAGAAGTACCGGAAAGGGTTACTTCTGGCTTTCACGGCTCGTGCATGCGCAGACGTGCAAAATGACGTCACGTGCATGCGCAGAAGCGGCGTTATAATGTTTTCACAACATTATAAACAAACACATAAGGCAAACAAACATAAATCATAGCCTTATTGAAAATTACACTTATTAACATTGTTAAGTGACTTCCTTGCTTCCCTTTGGTTGAATTTCATTGCATATCCTTTTAATGGTTTTCCAAATCACAGTTCTTATAAAATTTAACTTAAACGTGAACATCCTTAGATCTTCACATTATGAAATTAAACATATTAATTCATCACTTAACATAAATAAAATCCCAAGCCAATTAAGTATCTGCAAGCTGTTTTCAGTTAATTTAACTTAACATATTTAACTAAGTAATCATTACATTTAATCCACTCTTCCTGTATATGCATATCCAGGGAGCTGATTGTAATTGCAAGAGAAGTTAAATTACACACACACACACACACACACACACACACACACACACTGCAAAAAAACCTGTGTACCCAATGAAAAATAGTGGGTACTGTATAGTATAATATGTACGTATATGGTGTTTGGACAGAATCTCTTTCTCCTGTTCCTAGTTAGCCCTGATTTTCATTAATGGGCTTCCTCTTCTTTCAGATCACCTGCGGGATGAATTGGGGAAAGGTGAGAAAGGTAAGTGCTGGTAATTAGCTAGATTTTCTGAAGAACCAGATCAGACAGATAGCAACCAGGGGAAGTTCCTGAATGGATTCCTCTCCTATACCCAGTGCTTTTTCTTCTTTAAACAATGTTTAGGGGTACTCTCATTTTGACTAAAAAAAATATATCACCATTTTATAGCTCAAATCGGGGAAAATAAATACAGTAAATGGACAAAAGCACAGAGATTCACAAAATGTACCCCTGCGTCCCCCCAGAAGAAAGCACTGCCTATATCTTTCAACCTCCTTTGTATTAATTGTCAATGTTTGCCCAGATGATGATGATGATGATGATGATGATGATGATAATAATAATAATAATAATAATAATAATAATAATGATTATGATTATTTATTTATTTATTATTATTATTATTTATAACCCGCCCATCTGGCTGAGTTTCCCCAGCCACTCTGGGCGGCTCCCAATCGAGTGTTTAAAACAATACAGCATTAAATATTAAAAATTTCCCTAAACAGGGCTGCCTTCAGATATCTTTTAAAAATAGGATAGCTGCTTATTTCCTTGACATCTTATGGGAGGGCATTCCACAGAGTGGGCGCCACTACCGAGAAGGCCCTCTGTCTGGTTCCTTGTAACCTTGCTTCTCACAGGGAGGGAACAGCCAGAAGGCCCTTGGAGCTGGACCTCAGCTGAACAATGGGGGTGGAGACGCTCCTCCAGGTATACTGGGCCGAGGCCGTTTAGGGCTTTAAAGGTCAGCACCAACACTTTGAATTGTGCTCGGAAACGTACTGGGAGCCAATGCAGATCTCTCAGGACTGGTGTTATATGGTCTTGGTGGCCACTCCCAGTCACCAGTCTAGCTGCCGCATTCTGGATTAATTGCAGTTTCCGAGTCACCTTCAAAGGTAGCCCCACGCAGAGTGCACTGCAGTAGTCCAAGCGGGAGATAACCAGAGCATGCACCACTCTGGCGAGACAGTCCGCAGGCAGATAGGGTCTCAGTCTGCATACCAGAGGGAACTGGCAGACAACCGCCCTAGATGCAGAATTGACCTGTGCCTCCATGGACAGCTGCGAGTCCAAAATGACTCCCAGGCTGCACAGGTGGTCCAGATGCTCTGCACTGAGGGATGCCTGACTAATAATAATAATAATAATAATAATAATAATAATAATAATAAAAATTATTATTTATAACCTGCCCATCTGGCTGGGTTTCTCCAGCCACTCTGGGCGGCTTCCAACACAATATTAAAATACAATAACCTATCAAACATTAAAAGCTTCCCTAAACAGGGCTGCCTTCAGATGTCTTCTAAAAATCTGGTAGTTGTTTTTCTCTTTGACATCTGGTGGGAGGGCATTCCACAGGGCGGGTGCCACTACCGAGAAGGCCCTCTGCCTGGTTCCCTGTAACTTGGCTTCTTGCAGCGAGGGAACCGCCAGAAGGCCCTCGGCATTGGACCTCAGTGTCTGGGCAGAACGATGGAGGTGGAGACACTCCTTCAGGTATACTGGACCAAGGCCAGTATATGCCCTTCCTGTTAATTTTTGCTGTTTCCTGTGGGGGGTTGACTTAACGCTCTTATCCTGCCTCCTAGAGGAGCTGCTCCTGGACCCAGAGACGGCCAACCACCTCCTCATCCTCTCGGCGGACCTCAAGGGCGTGAGGATGGGCTGCCGAAAGCAAGATCTACCTGACAACCCCAAGCGCTTCGACACCAACTCTCGCGTCCTGTCCACCGAGGGTTTCAAGTCGGGGAGGCATTACTGGGAGGTGGAGGTGGGGTCTGCCGACGGCTGGGCCTTTGGGGTGGCCAAGGAGTCGGTGCGTAGGAAAGGCTTGACCCAGTTTAGCCCTGAAGAGGGCATCTGGGCATTGCAGCAAACGGGAGGGCGCTACTGGGCAGTCACGGTCCCCAAGCGCACCCCGATTTTCATGCCCGAGAGGCTCCACAAAGTGAGGGTTTACTTGGACTACGAAGGGGAAGAGGTGTCCTTCTACAACGCTGACAACATGCAGCACATTTTCACCTTCAACGTCGCCTTTACGGAGAGGGTGTTCCCCCTATTCTCCGTTTGCTCCACTGTCACCTACATTAAACTTTGCTCCTGAGAGCAGCTTCGTTCCAAGAGGGTGGGCAACTACATTATTTGTGCGCAATGAAAACCATAGCCCGCTTGCTTTCGATGCCAAGGCGTTTGTCCCTGGGGGCCACCACCGAGGAGGGCCTCGTAGTCACATAACCTTGTGATGGCTGCAGGAAAAGTGCTTGGGAGTGGGAAATGCCTTCAGAGAGCCAGTGTAGTGTAGTGGTTAAGAGCGGTGGACTCGTAATCTGGGGAACCGGGTTCGCGTCTCCGCTCCTCCACATGCAGCTGCTGGGTGACCTTGGGCCAGTCACACTTCTCTGAAGTCCCTCAGCCCCACTCACCTCACAGAGTGTTTGTTGTGGGGGGAGGGAAGGGAAAGGAGATTGTTAGCCGCTTTGAGACTCCTTAGGGTAGTGATAAAGCGGGATTTCAAATCCAAACTCTTCTTCTTCAGATGCGGCGGGTGGGGCAAGATGGCCGTGTGTGTGTGTGTCTCCTGCTTAAAACATTGGAAAGAGGCACTTACCAATATGTGTTGAAAGCTAAGGGCTGTGCAAGGCCGTTGGTTTGCCCTAGGTTACTCAAAGGCACGTAGACAACAGGCCTAGATGCACCCACAACTGCACTATAAATTTTAGTGCGCTATGATACCACTTTAAACTGTCATGGCTTCCCCCCCAAAGCATTCTGGGAGCTGTACTTTGTTAAGGGCACTTTAGGAGATGCTAATTCCCCTCACAGAGCGACAGTTTCCAGAGTGGTTTAACAACCCAGGGTTTCCCGCCTAAAGTAACTGACGTGGACCTGAGTGAAAACTATATACATGATACTCCTGGTGGCCAGGGTGAGAACTTCAATACATAACACAAACAACCCTTTTAATAACCATTAATTGATGCAGAATGAGTACTGTATTGGCTACAACGGGCAAAACATCCTCCTGTTTCTCTCCTTGACATTACATGGAAACATTAATGTTTTGGATTCAAATTTTACACTGTGACTTTGTGTCGGGTTTTCTCATTTCTTTACTCTGCACAGGATCGGTTTGACTATCAACATACAGTCAAACCTCAGTTGTCGAATGTAATCCGTTCCGGAAGACCGTTTGACTTCCGAAATGTTCGACAACTGAGACGTGGCTTCCGACTGGTTGCAAGAGTTTCTTGCACTCAAGCGAAAGTCGCGTTGGACATTCTGGTTCCGAAAAATGTTCAAAAACTGGAGCGTTTACATCCGGATTTTTGGCGTTCAGGAGCCGGAGGCATTTGGGAACCAAAATTTGACTGTGAGTCACTGCACAGCCTTAAACTGACCCAAGTCATTCCTCCTTCACTGCAAGGGATGTGAAGGGTCCCTACCAGAGACTCATTGATGCCCTCACGAAACTAGAACCCCCAGAATTCTTTGTTGGAGGCAGGCTATGGACCTAGCATAACCCTGAAAACCATTTCTAGAGAATTGTCTCATCTGGGAAGAAGAGTCCCTTTTGAGTTACGGAGTCTCCTTTCAGCTCTCGAACGCTTTGCATCATACATACGTCATTTGGTTTTCTATACCTACTTTTTAAAATTCTGCAGCACGGAGTTTGACCGCATGATGACAAGCATTTTGAAACTTGCTGATTGTTGAAAGCCCTTTGCAAACAGTACCTGTGGATATGGCCCAATCCCTCCCTCTCTCTTTGCCTTCATACCATTCAAGCTCTCTGCCTAGGCTTAGCCATTGTTGGAAGCGTTCAATGGGTGCTTAAGTTGCTCATTATCTAAATATGACCTTGGAATGTGCCTACAAATTCCATCCATTTGCAGGATGGAACTAATTTGTTTAGCTTGAGCAAGGGCAAGGAGACTTGAAAGACAGTTTGACTGACAGATTTGCTTTGAGGCTGAGCTTATTTTGGGGGGAGCGGGGTTGTTTGGCCCTGATGCAGCTGTGAACCTAGAACTGCTCTCCTGTGTACTTGCTTTTGTGCCTCTGTAATCCTCCTTGCTCAATTTGTACATTTGTAAATAAATTGGTTAGTACAGAGACACCATAAGTGTGTATTGATCTTTTCTCTGAAGGAAACGTCTCTGGACTTTCTCCTTGACTGTGGTGGTGAGGGGGAAGGATGAAGGAATATTTTTAAAATTGCTGATATCTTTTAAATAACTGACATCAATGCATTTGGTATCATTACAGTCAGCCATTAGCCATTTCCCACCCATATGGTTCTGATATCATTATGCCTTCTTCCTCAGAAGATTGTTGCTCAAAGGCTGATATTCAATCTTGTACGCATCATGGGCATAGTAAGAATTTTTGTTAGGGGCAGACAGGCCTTTTGTTAGGGGCAGAACCTCCATTAGCTATGTATTTTTTTATTGATTTTTGTTGATTGGGGGGAGCTGTCCCTTCCCGCCCCTACTTGGCTGTGCATTATTGCTTTTTAATTTATTTAATTGATTTATTACCCTGACCTTCACCATAAGGTTTCAGAACAGGTTGCAGCATTTTCAAAATGCAGCATTAAAAACAGTTTAAAACAAATGAAGAAACAAATGCTACCTTTCAGGCTAGGGAAAGCCCTATTTTAGGATGCGAGGGCAGCATCTAATTAAAATATGGCCTAATTAGAAAGCATTGGGCATAAATTGGTCTGAGTGGAAACACACAGTGCTTTAGTATGCTAAGTTCCTGTTAAGTTGTGGGCGAACATATCAGACGACACAGCAATTCTTTAGACAGCTCTTGTTTATTCACAGGCCAGAACAGAACTGAGCTGAAGGGTTCGGCCAACCTGCTTATATAGAGTTCAACTACAAGGCAAGAGTAACAACTTTCTGTAACTATCCAATCACTGAACGTCACTTTCAATTCCTTATTTGCATATGTGGACCTGAGTGAAAACTATCTACAGTATCCCCCTGCTGGCCCAGGGTGAGAACTTCAGTACATAACAGTTCCTTCATCGCTCCTTTTCACATCCAACTACTCCAGAGGCAGGAAGTTCCTCAAGTGGAGAAATCTCTCTGTAGATGTCTTAGTAACCATACATGGGAACTAAGGCTGTGTGCACACCATAAAGTACATTTGCCCCGCAAAAATCTTGGAAACTGAAATATGTTAAGGGTGATGGGAACTGAGCATTGACATTTGGAACAAGCTTACATATACAGAATATAGTAGGTTATTAGTAATCATATATGTATTAGGATCATGATAGTACTTATATAATAATATATGGTAGTGTAACTGATTATATTTAGTGGACCACATTATTTAGTTTTTCTTATTATATTTATATTTTTACTTTTTAGCGCTTTCCTCTCTTTTCCTCATTATTTTCTATAACTGATTTTTTCTATAATAATAATAATAATAATAATAATAATAATAATAATAATAATAATAATAATTTGCTGGGAACTATAGCTCAGAGGAAACAACAGTTTCCAGGAGTATTTGAGGGGGGAAATGTGCTTTGAATGTGCTTTTAAGCTATAGTGTGTACAGATTTGTACCTGATATGAGATGGTGCATAGTCAGAGACAAACCAAGGAGGGCGTTTGAAGATGACCTCAGTGCAGGGAAAACTATGGAGCTAGGAAACCTGTCCATGACTCTGGACCCAAGCCATGAAGGAGTTTAAAGGTAAGCATCAGCATTTGAAACTACCCTGGAGATGGACTGGGAACTAGATGAGAAAAGACATTCCCAGCAGTCAAGGAAGCAATTTTGGGAAGTTAAGGCAGTCAAGGAAGACGTATTTTCCACAAACTGCCATTTCCAAACCTGTCTTCAAAAGCAGCCCCCGTATAAAGAATGGGAGTAGTCTAGGAGGTTACCAGAGCAGAGAATACTAAGGCTAGGTTACCAATCAATAATATTCACAGTAAATTGATCCTTTGATTAGATTTGATAGACTTGATTCATACACATCAGCATGTAGCCAGAATGGAACTATCAGTATAGGAGGGAGGTGTTATAGGAATTCTAAGATTTTTTTATATCAGGAGGTATCTGCTGACTAGGGGAAAACCTCAGGTTTCCAGAAGACACAACAAAACAAAATTTTAGGGCACCTTTTCCCCAGACTGAGAGTCAAGGCCGGCTCAAGGAAAACATTGCTGGTTCAGGCCAATGATCTACCTATCAGGGGCGGACTTTGGTAATATGGTTGCCCTGAGTGAGGACAAAATTTGGCGCCCTCCCTACTAACTTTGAATATAAATATAGGTTGTTGTTGTTTAGTTGTTTAGTCCTGTCCGACTCTTCGTGACCCCATGGACCAGAACACGCCATGATCACTGCAGATGGTGACAGCAGCCACAAAATTAAAAGACGCCCGCTTCTCGGGAGAAAAGCAATGACAAACCTAGACAGCGTCTTAAAAAGCAGAGACATCACCTTGCCAACAAAGGTCCGTATAGTTAAAGCTATGGTTTTCCCAGTAGTGATGTATGGAAGTGAGAGCTGGACCATAAAGAAGGCTGATCACCGAAGAATTCATGCTTTTGAATTATGGTGCTGGAGGAGACTCTTGAGAGTCCCATGGACTGCAAGAAGATCAAACCTCTCCATTCTGAAGGAAATCAGCCCTGAGTGCTCACTGGAAGGACAGATCCTGAAGCTGAGGCTCCAAGACTTTGGCCACCTCATGAGAAGAGAAGACTCCCTGGAAAAGACCCTGATGTTGGGAAAGATTGAGGGCACATGGAGAAGGGGGCGACAGAGGATGAGATGGTTGGACAGTGTTCTCGAAGCTACCAGCATGAGTTTGACCAAACTGCGGGAGGCAGTGGAGCCCTGTATAAAAAGAGATTTAAGCAGAGTGTGGCCTGCCTGACGTCACCCACGCCGGCTTGCGCGCCAGAACCAGACGCTTGTAATTACACGTTCCGGTCGGCAGGTGGCACTGTTCTTGCACAATCTCCCCGCTTCCCTCCTCCCCGCCGCGAAGGCGAGCCTGTTTTGCTATTTCGCTGCCTTATGAAGCCGCTGCCTGCAGCGATCAGGAGAAGGGCCGCCTGCAGGGTTTGAGCGAATTCCACTGCGGAGCTCGCCTGTAATAGCCAGCGAGCATGATTCAGCGTAGAAGCATAAATTAGCATTGCTCATTAAAGCAGGAACAGCAGCACGCAAGCGGCAAGGAGCTTTGTCTACAGGAAACAGCACCATGTTTAACATGTAGGCTCCATAGCTCAGGGGTTAGAGCACTGGTCTTGTAAACCAGGGGTCGCGAGTTCAAATCTCGCTGGGGCCTTACATTTTCCCCCACTTACATAAATCGCCATGAACAAGGCAAT